TGACCTCAGATGATCCGCCTGCCTCAGCCTCCCAAAGTGTCGGGATTAAAGGCATGAGCCACTGCACCCGGCAGGAATTTTTTTGTTTTTAGTTTAGCTTTTATTAAGTCAAAGTTATATCTGTACCTGAATTAAAGAATCAAATAATTCAGTGTGACATTACACACAATAGCAAGCCTCTGCCTTTTCCATTCTTCCTGTTTTGTGTTTTCCAGACACAGGACTTTCAACTTTTTAATTATTTATTTATTTATTTATTATTATTTTTTTTTAAGAGACAGGGTCTCGCTATGTTCCCCACTGAAGTGCAGTGGCTGTTCACAGGCGTGATCCCACTGCTGATCAGCACGGTAGTTTTGACTTGCTCCGTTCGACCTGGGCCAGTTCACCCCTCCTTAGGCAACCTGGTGGTCCCCCGCTCCTGGGAGGTCACCATATTGATGCCGAACTTAGTGCGGACACCCGATTGGCATAGCACTCTATGGTCCAGAACTCCTGGGCTCAAGCGATCCTCCTACCTCAGCCTCCCGAGTAGCTGGGACTACAGGCATGCACCATGTGCCTGGCAGGACTTTCAACTTATTAAAGTCCACGGGATAAGTAGACCTTATTGCCCCAACTGGTGGACATCACAATACAGGCCCAGCGCAAGAATTTATTTTTTATTTTTGTTTTTTGAGACAGAGTCTCACTCTATTGCCTAGGCTGGAGTGCCAGGCTCTTTATGTATCAACGATATATATAGAGATATATAGCATTCTTTTTTTTTTTTTTTTTTTTTTTAAACAAGGTCTTGCTCTGATGCTCAGGCTGGAGTGCAGTGGCATCATCATGGCTCATTGCAACCTCTGCCTTCTGGGCTCAAGCAATCCTCCTACCTCAGCCTCCCAAGTAGCTGGGACTACAGGTGCATGTATCACACCCAGCTAATTTTTGTATTTTTTGTAGCAACGGGGTTTCACCATGTTCCCCAGGCTGATCTGGAGCTCTCGGGCTCAAGTGATCCTCCCGCCTCAGCCTCCCAAAGTGCCACAGGTGTGAGCCACTGTGCTCGGCCTAAAAAGCATTCTAAATAGCTGTGTCTTCATTTCAGGCCATATCTATTGATTTCCCACCAGGGAAGATCTAGCTCTTGTCACCTCCTTCCCTCTCCACACACCTGCCCTCTCTGACCTTCGTCTTCCCAGTATCCTTAAGTCATGATTCAGTGAAATTAATATTCAGGTTTTACTCATTACTGTGACTTTGAAAATGCTTTTCACCACTGAATGATGTAGACTGCTATGACAGCTTTTACTTCTTGTGCAACTTTCTCTGCATGAATTTCCCAATGACTGCTGTAAGCCCCAGTGATGGGCAAGGTATGTCCTCAAACTCTCACTCCACCCCGTGCCAGCCCTGAGAGAGAGACAGAGACAGAGAGAGACACAAAGAAAAACAGAGACAGAGAGAGAAAAAGAGAGCGAGAGAAAGACACAGAAAGAGACAGACGGAGAGAGAGATAGGGAGACAGACAGAGATAGAGACAGACAGAAAAACAGGGACAGAGATACACAGAGAGCGACAGAGATACACAGAGAGAGACAGAGACAGAGAGAGATACACAGAGACAGGGAGACAGATGGAGACAGACAGAAAAACAGGAACAGAGATACACAGAGAGAGACAGAAAGAGACAGGGAGGTAGAGACAGAGAGACACACAGGGAGGCAGAGATGGAGAGGGAGAGAGAGACAGAGAAAGAAAGGAGAGACAGAGAGAGAGGAAAGAGAGATAAAGAGACTGAGATAGACAGAGACAGAAAGAGACAGAGAGACACACAGAGAGGCAGAGAGAGGCAAGCCGGGGTCCTCCCAGGATTGGGGAAGGTCACTCTTTTTTTTTGTGATGGAGTTTTGCTCTGTCACCCAGGCTGGAGTGAAATGGCACTATCTTGGCTCACTGGAACCTCCACCTCCCGGGTTCAAGTGATTCTCCTCCTTTAGCCTCCCATGTAGCTGAGATTACAGGTATGTGCCACCATGCCCGGCTCATTTTGTATTTTTTTTTTTTTTTTTTTTTTGAGACGGGAGTTTCGCTCTTGTTACCCAGGCTGGAGTGCAATGGCGCGATCTCGGCTCACCGCAACCTCCACCTCCTGGGTTCAGGCAATTCTCCTGCCTCAGCCTCCTGAGTAGCTAGGATTACAGGCACGCGCCACCATGCCCAGCTAATTTTTTGCACTTTTAGTAGAGACGGGGTTTCACCATGTTGACCAGGATGGTCTCGATATCTCGACATTGTGATCCACCCGCCTCGGCCTCCCAAAGTGCTGGGATTACAGGCTTGAGCCACCGCGCCCGGCTCATTTTGTATTTTTAGTAGAGACAGGGTTTCTCCATGTTGGTCAGAATGGTCTTGAACTCCAGACCTCAGGTGATCTACCCACCTCAGCTTCCCAAAGTGCTGGCGTTACAGACATGAGCCACTGTGCCCGGCCTGGGAGGGCCACTCTTTTGGGGACAGGTGGCAGCACACCACCGCTTAGGATCCTTTGGCAAGGAGGGGCCCTGAGGCCTGGGGGCTGTGTCTATTTCAGGGGCTCTGCGAGCAGCCTGCTTTCCTGTGTCCTGCTGCCCCAATCCTGGCGTCCGTGTCACTGGCAACTCCCTCTGTTCTCCCCAAGCTTCCTCATGGTTTCCGCATTTCCATGGGGCCCAGGCTCAGGATGAGCAGGTGTGGCTCGGAGGTGGGTGTCCCATTATTCCTCACTTCCTTTTCTTCCTCATCAGGGTCTGTGGTCCCGGATGCATGGCAGGGCTCTGCGTTGGGGGCTTCTCTTGGAGATTTCTGAATGAGGAGGCTACTAGGAGAATCTATAGGGCAAGGCCAGGGTAAACAGCGTGGCTCTGGTGTGTGCCTATTGGGCCAGCCTGGGGTCTGAGCTATGGGATCCACAGTTCTGTGCACAGCAGAGCTGTGGCCACAGGAGCAGAAAGCCACTGACCAGGCCCCTGTGGCAGGCAGGCAGAACCCAGGAGGTCTGAAGGGCTGTGAGACACGACTCACAGTTACAGACCAGCCCCGAGGGACGGAACTTCCCCCACACCCAAATCTCTACACAGAGGCTTGCGATGGTTTAGTCACAATTCCCAAAGCCAGAAACAGCCCAGACACCCTTCAACTAGTGGACAAACAAGCAGTGATTGGTCTGTACAGTGGAATACACAGGGAGAGACACATAGGGAGACAGAGATGGAGAGGGAGAGACAGAGAAAGAGGAGAGACAGAGGGAGAGCGGAGAGAGACAAAGAGACTGAGACACAGACAGAAAGAGACAAAGAGGGACACACAGAGAGGCAGAGAGAGGCAAGCCGGGGTCCTCCCAGGATTGGGGAAGGCCACTCTTTTTTCTGAGATGGAGTTTTGACCTGTCACCCAGGCTGGGATGAAATGGCACTGTCTCGGTTCACTGCAACCTCTGCCTCCTGGGTTCAAGCGATTCTCCTGCTTTAGCAAGAAAAAGGAAGGAACTACACATGGTTCCCAACTTACAATGGCTCCACTTACATTTTCATTTTTATTTTTTATTTTATTTATTTATTTATTTTGAGACGGAGTTTCGCTCTCGTTACCCAGGCTGGAGTGCAATGGCGCGATCTCGGCTCACCGCAACCTCCGCCTCCTGGGTTCAGGCAATTCTCCTGCCTCAGCCTCCTGAGTAGCTGGGATTACAGGCACACGCCACCATGCCCAGCTGATTTTTTGTGTTTTTTTTTTAGTAGAGACGGGGTTTCACCATGTTGACCAGGATGGTCTCAATCTCTCTACCTCGTGATCCACCCGCCTCGGCCTCCCAAAGTGCTGGGATTACAGGCTTGAGCCACCGCGCCCGGCCCTATTTTTATTTTTTATTTTTGAGACAGATCTCACTCTGTCACCCAGGCTGGAGTGCGGGGCTGCAGGCATGGCTTACGGCAGCCTCAACCTCCTGGTCTCAAGTGATCGTCCCACCTCAGCTTCCCGAGTAGCCAGGACCTCAGGCGCTTGCCACCATGCCTAGCAAATTTTTTGTAGAGATGAGGTTTCACCATGTTACCGAGGCTGGTTTCTAACTGCTGAGCTCAAGCGATCTTCCTGCCTTGGCCTCCCAAAGTGCTGGGGTTGCACGCGTGAGCCATCATGGCTGTCTCACTTAAAATTTTTTGACTTTACAATGGTGTGAAACCATCACAATTTTGAAGTAATGAACAGTATTCAATAAATGACTTGAGATATTCAATACTTCATTATAAAATAGACTTGGTGTTAGGTGATTTTGCCTAACTTTAGGCTAAGGTGAGTGTTCACGTTTCAGGGAGGCTAGGCTAAGCCAGGGTGTTGGGGAGGTTTGGTGTATTAAATGCATTTTTTTTTTTTTTTTTTTTTTTTGAGATGGAGCCTTGCTCTGTTGCCCAGGCTGGAGGACAGTGTCGCTACCTTGGCTCACTACAGCCTCTGCCTCCTGGGATCAAGCGATTCTCCTGCTTCAGTCTCCCGAGTAGCTGGGATTAGACATGCGCCACCATGCCTGGCTATTTTTGTATTTTCAGTAGAGAAGGGGTTTTACCGTGTCGCCCAGGCTGATCTCGAATTCCTGGGCTCACGCAATTCTCCATTCTTGGCCTCTTAAAGTGCTGGGATTACAGGCATGAGCCACTGCGCCTGGCCTTTTTTTGGGGATGGGAGCGTGTCTTCTTTTTTAACCTGCCCCGCAGCCTGAGTCATTCATGGCCCTCGATAGGTGAACTCACGCCACCTGTTCATTCTTGGTCCTGCTTTTGTTGAGGTCCCAGGCTGCCAGCTGGTGTCATCGCAACTCACCCATGGGCTGGGGATGCTCAGGTGTCCTGAAGTCGTTTCTCATGTGAGCCCTGTCCAGTTGCCAGGGCAGGGTGGTCCTGTGCAGGCTTTGCATGCTGATGGCTGAGTGGTAGCACTGCTCTTACATAATCAGTTTCTCCCCTCCTTTCTCTTCCCAGAGCCAAATTTCACACTGAGCAGCTGCAGTCGGAGAAATCAGAGAAAGCGTCACCCAGCCTCAGATACCAAGGGACCTGCCGGGGACTCTCTCTTCCTGCTCCTCGGAAAGGAAGACCTCGAGGCCACTGGCTCAGACCCACTCCTGGGCTGCCATGGGACTCGCAGCCACTGCCCCCTGGCTATCCTCCATGCTGCTGGGCAGATAAGGACAGCTGCTGCCCCTGGGGCACCTGCCCGCTCCCGCCGCCCAACCACTCCTCCAGGGCCAGCCCTTCCCTGACTCAGTGGCCACCTCTGCTGCCCCGAGGCCATGTAGGCCACACTCAGGCCTCCATAGACACTCCACTGGGGATGGTTCCTGAGCTCTTGCGGGGACAAGGAACACTACCATGCCCTGGGGCTTCGCCTGGCTGCGCTGTGAGTACTGGGGTGTCTCTGGGGACCTGCCCTGGGAGGCCTTGGCCGAGATCCAGGCTCTGCCATGGCTATAGCAACCAGGGCATTCTCGCTGGTGAGAAGCTGTGATGCTTCCCAGCCTGACTGCAGACACCCTGTGGGATTCCCACGGCCACCCTCTGCCCTATATGCTGCTGACCTCAGGCTCCGATGGGCAAGCTGGGTGGGCAGTTCTGGCTGGGTGGGCATGGTCCTCAGGGTGGTCTTAGGTTGGGACAGGCACTGGGGATAGGTGGCAGCATCTCACCTTTCCAGGCTCGTGGGCTCTGGGGAACGTGTGCAGGCAGCGGTGGCATAGTCCTGGGCGTGGCCAGTGGGGGTGGGGCATGGGCTGGTGAAAGTGTCCAGGAACCCAAGACCCACCGCAGAAGAGCAGCCAGGTGCCTGGAGAAGGCCCCCTGTTCCCCTCCAACTCTCCCTCCATAACAGAATAGAATTCAAAAGCAGAAAGATAACATTTTGGTAAAAAGAAAAATAAGTTGAAATGAGGACAGGAAGTAAAAAAAGGATCTGGAAGCCTCTCATGTCTGCTGGGTGGGACGTCAGACCAAGATCCCTTCACTCTCCAAGATTCAATTTAATTGACTCAAATTCATCACATTTTTCTGGTGCCTTCCACGTGCCCACTGCAGTCACTCCCATGACAACAAGGACCTTGCTGTCTCGTGCCTCTGTCTCCAGTGCCTGGCACAGGGTTGAGTGCTCGGAAACTGTTTGAGGTCATGGGTATGAGCCTTGGAGGGATCCAGAGAAGAGTTGGCTCCACCCTGGCCCTTGTGAAAAGATACAACAAAGGGTTGGGACATTAGCAGGCGGTGGACCTAGTGTTCTGGAAGCGCCTAGGTCATGAGGATCAGGGGTACAGTGTGGGGGATGGGCTGCTGGAAATGGTCTGGAAGGTGGGGAGGTGTTCATACAGGTAGACCTGAGGTCATGAGGCCTGTGTTCCAGGGAGAGAGACCAGTGTGAACAAAGTTTCGGCAATAGGATGATGAAAGGCCAGGCTGGAAGCTGGTTTGGACTCAGGTGGCTGAGGCCTTGGAAGCCAGGTAAAGCGTGCCTCCCTCACCCACAGCAGGCAGCCCTGGAGGATTTGAGAGCCAGCGGGGGTGGAGTCGTGCTTGGGAGTTCCTCTGCTCCTGAAGATCAGTCTGGCGGTGCTTGTAGGAGTTGCTGTTGTTACTGTCTGCACAGGAGGAAATGAGGGTCGTTCTGGAGGTGGAGGTGTGAATGAAAGGCAAAGGATGCTGAGCTGGTGGCTCACACCTGTGATCCCAGCACTGTGGGAGGCCACGGCAGGAGGATGGCTTGAGACCAGGAGTTTAAAACCAGGCTGGGCAACATAGTGAGACCCCCATCTCTAAAAAAAGAAAAATTAGCCGGTATGGCAGCATGCACCTGTAATCCCAGCTACTCAGGAGGCTGAGGTGGGGGGATCACTTGAGCCCAGGAGATTGAGGCTACTGTGAGTGAGGGTTGCATCACTGCACCGCAGCCTGGACAACAAAGTGAGACCCTATAAAAAAAGAAAGCGAGAGAGAGAGAGAGAGAGAGAGAGAGAGAGAGAGAGAGAGAAGACAGACAAGACAGAAAGAAAGAAAGGCAGGCAGAAAGAAAAAAAGAAAGCAAGCAAAGAAAAGAGAAAAGGGAGGGAGAGGGAAGAAAGCTCCAGACGGTGTGTCTTAGGACTGGGCTAGGGCTGGCTGGGGGATGAGGGAGAGGAGGGGCAGCAGATTGAGGTGGGGGCTGGTGCTCAGGGGCTGAGGTGCTGAGGAAGTTGGGCTGCCATAACCAATTAGTACTCTTCGGGTGGCTTAGAGCAACAGGAACGTATTGTCTCACAGTTCTGGAGACTGAGGTGTGAGATCAGGGTGTCCACAGGGCCAGGTTCCCTTCAAAGGCCCTGAGAGGGAGACTTCCTTGCCTCTTCCAGCTCCTGGCAGCTTTGGCCTCCTTGGCCTGTGGCCAAGTCACTCGGATCTGCCTGTCTTCATGTGGCCAGACTCTGTGTGTCTCTGTGTCCCCTCTTTTTCTTCCAGGGACACTGGTCATTGGATTTAGGGACCTGCCTAAATACCGGATGGGCTCATCCTGACATCCTTCATTTAATAACACCTGCAAGTGGTGCAGGACAGGCAAGCCCCCAAGTGGGGCTCAGTCTGGGGCGGTTCTTGGCTTTGGCTCGGAGAGAATTCAAGGCAAACTGATGTTAGAAGAAAACAGCTTTCCTGAAGAGGTGTTAAAGCTCCGTGCCAGCTCCTGCAGAATAGGGCTGTGCCAAAGGAGTTGTACTGGGGAGCAGCTCAGGGCCATTTGCAGTCATATTTATTCCCACTTCTAACTGCATGCAGATTAAGGGGCAGTTTCTGCAGACATTTCTCGGGAAGGGGTAGTAACTTAGGTTACTGGGTCATTGCCGTGAAAAGGAGTGGTAACGCCCAGATGTTGCCATGGCAGTGGTAAACTGACAGGGCACACTGCTGGGCATGTCTTTTTGAATGCTGCTTCTGCCTGTCCATCCCTGTTTCCACTTTGGTCCGGTGTCAGAGCTCCGCCTCTGGAGTTGGCCCTACCTCCTACTTCACAGAGGCCCTATTTCCAAACAAGGTCACACTCTGAGGTTTGGGTAAACATGGATTTGGAGGAGATGCTATTTAACCCACAGCACAGGTTCAGATTTGGTCCCTGGGGCTGGGAGTGGCAAGGCTTGTCACTGCACTTAGGGTCATCACAGGGAGGGAGCAGGTCCCTCTTGCCCCCCCACCTGGGGCCAGGGAACCAGGAAGGGAGCACCGTACTCATGTGGACCTTTCTTCAGCCTCTCTGTGTCCTGCAGGTTGTTTTATTTATTTTTATTTTATTTATTTATTTATTTAAAACGGAGTCTTGCTCTGTTGCCCAAGCTGGAGTGCAGTGGCACTTTTTCAGCTCACTGCAACCTCTTGCCTCTGGGATAAGATGAGGGCAGGTGGGGGGGGGTCTCTTGACCAGGGTCAGGGGTGGCACTGGCTGTGGGGTTCCTGGTGTGCAGAGCATGTGGGGGACAGTGGCCTTGAGGTTGGAGCTGTGCTTCCCCTGCCTGGACCCTGTTTGTTAACCTGTTTCTCTGGGTGGGTGGAGGCAGCAAAACAAGAAACTGATACTTAAGAGTGATGTTTGGGCTGCAGCCTTAGAGGAAGGCTGCCCAGCTGGGGGAGGGGCAGATCATCTGTGGACAGGGCTTCCAGGGCAGCCTGTGTGCCCACCGTGCCAGGCTGGAAGGCACAGTGTCACTCCAAGGCACAGTCCCTGCCTCGAGGCCACAGCTGCCGGGTCCCCAGCTGCTGGGTCTCCAGGGCCCCAGAACAGGACACAGAGAAGGGCAGCTGCTGTAGGATTGGGGGTTGGAGTGGACAGCCAATGGTGATGGCCACACAGGAAAAAAGACCCAGTGTGGACAGAGGTACTGATTTTTTTTTTTTTTTTTGAGACGGAGTTTCACTCTTGTTACCCAGGCTGGAGTGCAATGGCGCGATCTCGGCTCACCGCAACCTCCGCCTCCTGGGTTCAAGCAATTCTCCTGCCTCAGCCTCCCGAGTGGCTGGGACTACAGGCGTGTGCCACCATGCGCAGCTAATTTTTGTATTTTTAGTAGAGACGGGGTTTCACCATATTGACCAGGATGGTCTCGATCTCTTGACCTCGTGATTCACCCGCCTCGGCCTCCCAAAGTGCTGGGATTACAGGCTTGAGCCACCGCGCCTGGCCAGGTGGTACTTATTTTTTTAAAAAGAAAAGCTGAAATTGTGAATTTTTATTCCTGTGGAATTTTATTCCTGTGGAAATCCCTGTGGACCAGAGGTGACCGTTGGGACACCAGCTTCCAAGTGTTGCTGTAGGTCTGCAGTTTCAGAGCAATGGCCACAGCTTTACCTGGGACCCTGTTAGAAAGGTAGATTCTCCGGCCACGTCCTAGACCTGCTGAGCAGAGACTCCGGGGCGGGGCTGGATGACCCGTGCCTTAACCAGCTCTCAAGGGATGCTGATGTCTGCTCCCATTTCTACCTCTTGAAGCAGATCCTTAAACGCACATGTAAAGTGTTCAGCACACTGGACTGTGCGATGTTTAACTGCCTTATGGATTCACATACCAAAGTCAAGGTCATGAGTGAATGGGGAAGGTGGTACTGGAGACAGATACCAGTTGGAGCTGGTGCAGGCAGGGGAGACCCTGGTGGGGTGATGAGGGAGAGAAGAGTCTCTGGGAGACTTTGAAGGAGGTCTGTAGTGGGAGGGGGTACCCAGCATGGGCAAAGCATGAGCCCAGGAGGCAGGGATGATCTTGACCTGCAGGGATGATCTTGAACTGCAAGGGTGGGTGCCAGGCTGAAAGGTTCAGGACTTAGGACAGAAAGCAAGCAGATATTGAAGGGGCAAACACTGGTTCAGTTCATGCTTATCTGGCCCTCTGGCCCAATACTGTGTCAGGCACAGGGAAAGAAAGAGAGAGGAAGTGCAAGACAGATTGCAAACTCGCAATCTTGCAAAAAATTTGGGGCTCTATGGGGCACAGGGCTTGAGGAGACCTGAGGCTCTGAGCTGCGAAAGGGCACTCCCGGTGGCAGGTCCCAAAGGAGCAAAGGCCAGGCGGGAAACCTGAGCAGGGCAGGTTTGGAGAGGGAGGTGGGCAAGTGGCAAACGGGTGGTGTGGCCCAGACCAGAGGGGCGGGAAGTAACAAAAATCTTCCGAGGTGCTGCGAGTAGGGAAAGTCCAGTCAGTAATTCCTACTCATAGCTGTGGGTGGCTCAGGGAGGTGACAGCCTGCCTGACTGCTTTTGCCGGAAAAAAAAAAAAAAAAAAGGATGGCTATTGCTTTTGTCTATAACAATAATATATACGGATTATAGCACATAAAAAATGTCCTGCAAGTCCAGGTGTGGTGGCTCATGCCTGTAATCCCAGCACTTTTGGAGGCCAAGGTGGGAGCATAGCTTGAGCATAGGAGTTCGAGACCAGCCTGGGCAAAAGAGCAAGACCTCGTCTCTACAAAAAAAAAAAATGTTTTTAATTAGCTGGGTGTGGTGTTGTCACCTGCTGTCCCAGCTGCTGGGAGGCTGGTGTGGGAGGATTGCTTTAACCCAGGAGGTTGAGGTTGCAGTGAACAATGACAGTGCCGCTGCATTCCAGCCTGGGTGACAGAGCAAGACCTTATTTCAAAAGAAAAACACTAAAAAATCTCCCGTAGAGATTTGGTACAGTCATGCTATGAACACAGACAGCATTGAGTGATGCTGTTTTTCAAGTTCACGTAGCGCAGGCGAAGCTTTGACAATGTGATTTGTATTGGACACATGTATTATAACCGGCCATCTAGGCCATTTCCAGCTTTTCACTATTATAAAATAAATGCTGCTCTCTCTGTTTTTGTTCATAAATTTTTGGCTATATCTTTTGCTTTTCTTCCAATTTATTTCTAGAAGTGAATTTAGAGGGTGAAAGAGTGTGGACATTTTTAAGGCTTAGATGGAAAAGTGTGGATACTATCAAATCCATTAATAACAAAAATCACTAAATTGCTTCTCAGGACAGCACTTCCCTCACCGCTTGGCCAGCATCACCATGAACATATTGTACAGCATAGTTTTCTTTTTCAGATGGAGTTTTTTGCTCTTGCTGCCCAGGCTGGAGTGCAATGTTGAGATCCAGTACGAATTATTCATTATTAAAACAAAATGAGCTTTTAATAATTTTAGTAATATGGCCAGGTGCAGTGGCTGATGCCTGTAATCTCGGCACTTTGGGATGCTGAGGCAGGAGAACTGCTTGAGCTCAGGAGTTTTGAGGCCAGTCTGGCCAACATGGCGATACCTTGTCTCTACAAAAAATACAAAAAATTAGCTGGGTGTGGTAGCCCCTGCTTGTAATCCCAGTTACTTGGGAGGCTGAGGCATGAGGCATAAGAATTGCTTGAGCCCAGGAGGTGGAGGTTGCAGTGAGCTGAGATTGTGCCACTGTCAGCCTGGGTGACAGAGCAAGATTCTGTCTCAAAAAGAAAAAAAAAGTGCTGGGTGCAGTGGCTCCCGGCACTTTGGAAGGCCGAGGAGGGTGTAGCGTGGGGTCAGGAGTTCGAGACCAGCCTGGCCAATGTGGTAAAACTTCATCTCTACTAAAAATGCAAAAATTAGCTGGCATGGTGTTGGGTGCCTGTAATCCCAGTTACTCGGGACCTGAGGTAGGAGAATTGCTTGAAGCTGGGAGGCAGTGGTTGTAGTGAGCTGAGATTGTGCCACTGTACTCCAGCCTGGGCAACAGAGGGAGAGTGTCTCAAAAAAAAAAAAAAAAAAAAGCTAGGTTCAATGGCATGTGTCTCTCATTCCAGCTACTCAGGAGGACACAAGAGAAGATTGCTTGAGACTAGGCATTTGAGACAAGCCTGGGCAACATAGCAAAATCCTTTCTTAAATAGCCCCAACAACCCAAAACCACAAAAAACTTTTTCATTTGAATATATGAAAAATGGGCTGAGCACAGTGGTTGATGCCTATAATCTCAGCACTCTGGGATGCTGAGGCAGGAGAATTGCTTGAGCTCAGGAGTTTGAGGCCAGTCTGGACAACGTGGCAGTACCCTTTCTCTACAAAAAATATAAAAATTAGCCTGTGTAGTGGCATGCAACTGTAGTCCTAGCTACTTGGAGGCTGAGGCGGAAGGATCGCTTGAGTCTGGGAGTTCTAGGTTGCAGTGAGCCATGATTCCACAACTGCACTTCAGCCAGAGTGACCGAGGGAGACTCTATCTCAAAAAAAAAAAAAAAAAAAGAAAAGAAAAGAAAAGAAAACTTATATCTGATTGTTTTAATGTGAATTTATTTATTTATTTATTTATTTATTTATTTATTTATTTTTTTGAGGTGGAGTTTCGCTCTCGTTACCCAGGCTGCAGGCTGGAGTGCAATGGCGCGATCTCGGCTCACCGCAACCTCCACCTCCTGGGTTCAGGCAATTCTCCTGCCTCAGCCTCCTGAGTAGCTGGGATTACAGGCACACGCCACCATGCCCAGCTGATTTTTTGTATTTTTAGTAGAGACGGGGTTTCACCATGTTGACCAGGATGGTCTCGAACTCTCGACCTCGTGATCCACCCGCCTCGGCCTCCCAAAGTGCTGGGATTACAGGCTTGAGCCACCGCGCCCGGCGCAATGTGAATTTATTAATTTTGTTTATGAGTCTGATCTTTCAGATAGTTGGCCTTTTTCTGTGTTATTCTTTCTGCTCTGATGGACTTTATTCATATTTGTTGCGAATTCTCTCCTATTTTTTCTGTTAAGGCACGTGGAAATCGTATAGGCTGTCTTTGAAGTCACAGTGACCCCCAGTGGCAAAGTCTGGTAATGTTCCAGTGGCTCATTCTCATTAGTGGCCAAAAGAGATGCAGCCAGTGTGAGATCTGCTTAATGTCCCAGAAAGACCAGACTGGAAGGCGCTACAGACCCGCTGGCACAGTTAGCTGGGAGGGACACTAAGATCAGATAGGGCAGGGAAGAAAGTGGCGTGGGTGACTGAAGAGTCATTTGTTAAACTGGAACCAGAATCCAGGATGATTGATCTCCTGAATGCCTGGCTGGAAAACCCAGCAACGAGCTTTGAAAACATGTCACCTGGACACCAGGGGCTGAAGTTGTCCTGTGCGGGAGGTTTTGCCTGCTCTATGGAGCGACAGAAGCGGGGACACCAGACGTCGGGCCTGGGGCGTGCCTCCTGGGGGGCTCTGGTGGCTGGCGTGGGATGGGTGTGGACCCTCTGGACGGCTCCTGCCTGTCTGACTTTGCTGTTCTGGAGCTAGACCCCAGGGAAAGCATTCCGGATCCTGTCCCCCCACCACCACATCTTTCCTATCAGTGCGTGTCACCTACGAGAACAGATGATGGTCACTCGGCTTTGGACGTTGTGGATGGTGTGGATGAGATGCAGGGTGCTCATGTGCCTTTGTCTCATGTGGTCCACAGATCTTGGGATCTTCCTCGGCGTGGCCTTGGGGAATGAGGATTTGGAAATGTGGCCCTTGACACAGAGTGAGGAGTGCACTGTCACGGGTTTTCTGCGGGACAAGCTGCAGTACAGGAACCGACTTCAGTACATGGTAACCACGTGGGCACCAGCTGTGTCCCTGTCCCCGAGCGCTGGGGCTCACCTGGCGTAGGTCTCTGGACATTCAGGGCCCTTCCTAGAACCTGTGTCAGCCCTGAGCAGACCATGGCCAGTTTCTCTGCCTTTCTCTGAAACCTACCCATGCACCTGGTCTGCACTTACCGACCCCTCTCCTGCCGTCTCCTGGGGCTGCCAGCCCTCCTCCTTGTCTCACTTTAATCCTTCATGGCGGCATTCACCATATGACTCAGGAACGGACACTGGAGTTCTTTGAGGAACCCCAGGCACTTATTAGCCGGAAAGACCTAGAAAGTGGAGCATTTGGTTCTTTTTGTAGAGTGGAAATATCTGTGTGGCTCTATGCTTTTTTTTCTTAACTTTTTCTAAAAAACTTTTTCTTTCTTTCTTTCTTTTTTTTTTTTTTTTTTTTTGAGACAGGGTCTTGCTCTGTTGCCCAAGCTGGAGTGCAATGGCATAATCTCAGCTCACTGCAGCCTCCACCTCCCAGGCTCAAATGATCCTCCTACCTCAGCCTTGCTAGTAGCTGGGACTACAGGCATGCACTATAGTTCCATATCCAGCTAATTAAAAAAATTTTTTTTGAGATGGAGTCTTGCTGCCCAGGCTGGAGTGCAATGGCATGATCTCGGCTCACCTTAACCTCCACCTCCCGGGTTCAAGCAATTCTTCTGCCTCAGCCTCCTGAGTAGCTGGGATTACAGGTGGGTGCCACCACGCCTGGCTAATTTTTGTATTTCTAGTAGAGAAGGGGTTTCACCATGTTGGCCAGGCTGGTCTTGAACTCCTGACCTTGTGATCCACCCACCTCAGCCTCCCAAAGTGCTGGGATTAAAGGCGTGAGCCACCATGCCTGGACAAAACATTTTTTTTTGAGTAGCAGGGTTTCACCATGTTGCCCAGGGTGGTCTTGAACTCCTGGGCTCAAGCAATACACACACCTTGGCCTCCCAAAGTGCTGGGATTACAGGTGTGAGCCACCATGCTAACCTATGTATCTTTTAAAATTAATTAGCTTTTAGAGACAGGGTGTCACTGTTGTCCAGGCTGAAGTGTAGTGGTGAGATCACAGCTCAGTGTAACCTCAGACTCCTTAGCTCAAGTGAATCTCCTCAGCCTGGGATTACAGTAAGCCACTGCACCTTGTGAGTGTCTTTTTTAACAGCTTAACTGACATATAATTTATGTATTTATATATGAGACATAATTCACCCCCTTAAAGTGCACAACTCAATGGTTTTTAGTGTGTTCACAGAGCTGTGCAACCATCACATAATAATACGTTTTTCTTGAAGTAGCGTGTCCTCACACTTGAGCCTGAAACTTCTGCCTTAACAGGAACTGTGTGTTTTGTTCCGCCCTCCCTGTGTCCCAGAGGAAAGTGAGCTGTTTTTAGCCCAGCTGTGAGCCAGGCATACCTCTCTGAACAGGACCACCTCTGCCATCCAAGGGCTGGGCCCTGAGTCCTCTCCTCCTACATCAAAATTCATCGGGAGGCAGGGTGTCATGGCTCATGCCTGTAATCCCAGCACTTTGGGAGGCCAAGGTGGGAGGATCGTTTAAGCTCAGTAGTTCAAGACCAGCCTGGGCAACGTGATGAAACCCCATCTCTACAAAAAATTAAGGCATTATCTGGGCATGGTGCCACACACCTGTAGTCCCAGCTACTTGGGTGGTTGAGGTGGGAGGATTGCCTGAGCCTGGGAGGTTGAGGCTTCAGTGAGCCATGATCCTGCCCCTTCACTCCAGACTGGATGACGGAATGAGACTAACTTTAAAAAAAGGATCATTTGGGAGGTTGGGGAGCCTGCTGGTCATTTCTACTTCTGGCCTCATGGTTTGTTCTTGTGCCTCTCTAGAAATACTACTTCCCCATCAACTACAAGATCGGCGTGCCTTACGAGGAGGTGTTCAGAATCTCCAATGTCACCAGGCTGGTGAGAATCCCCTGCGGGCTGTGGGGACCCTGCCTCCCATGACATCCAGTGGGCCCCATCCTCAGAGGTGCACTGGACTTGGCAGGTGGTGCTGCTGGCCTGGGGCCTCTCCCCAGCCTGAGAGCAGATTAGCCCCTGTGCCTGGGCCAAGGACCAGCCTGCTCTCGGGGCTGGGGAGGGGCCCCAGGCCAGCAGCACGAGCTGTACTCACTGTCTGCAGTGGATGCCCCTGTCTACTCCCTCTGCAAGGGCAAGTCCCTGGTGAGAGGGTGGTCCGAGCCCAGAGGGCTCGTGTCTCGGGGGTTGCAGTGACTTCCCTGTCTCTGCAGCAGAGGGCCCGGGTGAGCGAGCGGGAGTTGCAGTATCTGTGGGTCTTGGTGAGTCTCAGTGCCACTGAGTCGGTGCAGGATGTGCTGCTCGAGGGCCACCCATCCTGGAAGTATCTGCAGGAGGTGCAGACGCTGCTGCTGGATGTCCAGCGGGGCCTCACGGTGAGCCGTGCAGCGGGTGGCAGGCAGGGCGTGTGTGTGCACAGGTGCGTGCATGTGCGTGTATGAGTCTATGAGGTGTGGCCAAGGGCTGGTGAGGAGAGGGGTGAACACATGGAAAGATGGGCACCAACCAAGGAGCGTGGGAAAGTGGGGGAGGGGTGCAGGCAGGAAAAGAAGCCTGTGGAAGGAGGAGGCGGCCACTGTTCCATGCCGACCAGGCTCGGGGTGCAGGAGATGCCCCTGAGACTCTGTTCTAGCCTCTGCCTCTCTCCCTCTGGATCTTGGGCCAGTCATCCTACCCTCTTTGTTTCTGCAACATGAGGGTCCTGGAGGTGGGGGAGGAGGAGTGGGGAAGCATAGATGGAGCAGAGGGAATGTTTGGGGCAGTGAAACTGCTGCAGGCCGGCCATGTCTCATGCCTGTAATCCCAGCACTTTGGGAGGCTGAGGTGGGTGAACCACCTGAGGTCAGGAATTTGAGATCAGCCTGGCCAACATGGTGAAACCTATCTCTGCTAAGAATACAAAAAGTGGCCGGGCATTGTGGCGCACGCCTATAATCCCAGCTACTTGGGAGGCTGAGGCAGGGGAATTGCTTGAACCTGGGAGGTGGAGGTTGCAGTGAGCCGAGATCCCATCATTGCACTCCAGCCTGGGTAACAAGAGTGAAAACCCCTGTCTCAAAAAAACAAAACAAAACAAAACAAAACAAAAGCTAAAAACCCCTGAAAACTATGCAGTATAATATGTTCATGGTGGATACGTGACAGCACACATTTGTCACAACCCATAGAACTGAACAACACAGAGTGTGAACACTAATGTAAATTATGAACTGTAGTTAATTAAAAAAAAAACAACAAAGAGATTCTCCTATCTCCACCCCACTCAGAGAAATTGATCTGAGGCCTCAGGGATATTGTCCTCTAAAGAACCTGAGTTGTAGTGAAAAAACAAGGTGGCAGGATGACCCATGCAGGCTGTGTGTGCCGTGGCACCCCTCCCTGTCCCCACCCACCCTCCTCAGGAGTCTAATGCATAGTTGTCCTGGGGACCCACCTGCTGCCCTGCTTAGCCAGCTGCTGACAAGACCCAACCTGCAGGCAGAGCATCCCAGGCCAACTGTAAGCTTTGGATGGTGAAAGGGCTTAGGGACCAGCACCTGTTTTTTTTTTTTTTTTTTTTTTTTTTTTTAACCCAGGCTGGAGTACAATGGCGTGATCTCGGCTCACCGCAACCTCCATCTCCTGGGTTTAAGCAATTCTCCTGCCTCAGCCTCCTGAGTAGCTGGGACTACAGGCGTGTGCCACCATGCCCAGCTGATTTTTTGTATTTTTAGTAGAGACGGGGTTTCACCATGTTGACCAGGTTGGTCTCGATCTCTTGACCTCATGATCCACCCGCCTCGGCCTCCCAAAGTGCTGGGATTACAGGCTTGAGCCACCGCACCGGGTCTCAGCACCTGTCTTTGCAGCTGCCTAGAGCTTGCCTGGGAGGAGACTGGTGGGAAGGCTCCCAATTCTTACAAAGCCAGGAGACTCCTTGATCTCCTTGGTGGCTCTTTTTCTTGTTTATTTCATTTCATTTCATTTATTTACTATTTTAGAGATGGGGTCTCGCTATGTTGCCCAGGCTGGTCTTGAACCCTGGGACTCCTATGATACTCCTGCCCCAGTCTCCCAAAGTCCTGGGTTACAGGCATTAGCCACCCTGCCTGGCCTCTGTGGTGGCTTTTGTTTGTTTGTTCTGTTTTGAGTTGGAGTCTCCCTCTACCACCCAAGCTGGAGTGCAGTGGCGCGATCTTGGCTCACTGCAACCTCCACCTCTAGGATTCAAGCAGTTTTCCTGCCTCAGCCTCCCAAGTAGCTGGGATTACAGGTGCCTGCCACTATGCCTATTTTTGTATTTTTAGTAGAGATGGGGTTTCACCATGTTGGTCAGGTTGGTTTTGAACTCCTGGCCTCAAGTGATCTGCCTGCCTCAACCTCCCAAAGCACTGGGATTACAGGTGTGAGCCGCCATGCCCAGAAGTCTCAGCCTTTTCATGGCCTTCCGCCTGGTGTTTCCACGTCTGTGTGACCTTGCTCTTATAAGGACATCAGTCATTGTATTAGGGCCTACCCTAAATCCAGGATGATGTCCTTCTGAGATCCTCTGCAAACACTCTATTTCCAAATAGGGTCACCTTCACAGGTACCAAGGGGTAGGACCAAGACACAACTTTTTTTTTTTTTTTTTTGCTCTTGTTGCCCAGACTAGAGTGCAATGGCCCAATCTTGGCTTACCGCAACCTCTGCCTCCCAGGTTCAAGCGATCCTCCTGCCTCACCCTCATGAGAAACTGGGATTACAGGTGTGCACCACCAGGCCCAGCTAATTTTGTATTTTTAGTAGAAACGGGGTTTCTCCTTGTTGGTCAGGCTGATCTTGAACTCCTGACCTCAGGTGATCCACCTACCTCAGCCTCCCAAAGTGCTGGGATTATAGGCTTGAGCCACTGCACCTGGCCAAGACACAGCTTTTGGGGGGAGGAAATGGACACAGTTTGGCCCAGGACATGTTGCCTGGGCTGTCACCCCCTTCCAGAAGATCACCCCCCACCTTTCCCATGATGCTTTCTACAGTGGCCCTGACCTCCTGCCTGGGGACTTCCCTCCCTCGGTGCCATGGTGCACCCCACATGACCCTTTTGTTGAGTCTCTTGGAGAGAAACCACCTGAGCTTGGAGCTGGACTTCCTGCCCTGCCTATGTGACTTAAGCCTCAGTGTCCCTATGAGAGCCTTCTGTTGTTCCTTGGAGTTGATGGAAGTCTTTGCTTCCTGAAGGACAGTTTCCCCAGGTCAGGGGGTCCTCACATGGTGGTGGGTGGCCGTGCCTGGGCGTGGGATGCCCCACTTTCCTCACCGTCCTGGCCTGCACCCTCTACTCATTTTTCCAAAGATGGAAAAGCGGAGCCTTGGAGTTGTGCCTGGGTGAAGGGTGGCGTCTGGGACCCTCCTTGCGCCCACAGGAAGAAGATGGTGAGAAATAGCGATCCAGGCTCATGGCCACAGAAGTCTGGTCCTTCTTCCATGGTTTGGGCAGCTCCAGGTGACTGGACAGCCCCCACGGCTCTCCTGGGGTACGGCTCCATCTTGCCACTGCTCCTGACGGCTTCCTCCTTTCCAGGACGTGGAGGTCAGCCCCAAGGTGGAATCTGTGTTGTCCCTCCTGAATGCCCCAGGGTCAAACCTGAAGCTGGTGCGGCCCAAAGCCCTGCTGGACAACTGCTTCCGGGTCATGGAGCTGCTGTACTGCTCCTGCTGTAAGGAGCTTCTTTGGGGGTGAAGCCTGGGGGTGGGAGGCCGGGCATCAGGGCCCAGGCCAGCTGGTAGAGCTGGCATCCTCCTGGGCATACCCTCTGCTTCCCAGGGCTACAGGTCATTTCTGGAAGCCAGGATGGGCCCTGGTTATGGGGGGACGGGGACAAGCACACATGGCTTGGTTTGGTGGGGAGGGTGGTCTTCAGCACTGCTATAGTCTTTTTTTCCCCCTATCCCTTGCAGGTAAACAAAGCTCCGTCCTAAACTGGCAGGACTGTGAGATGCCAAGTCCTCAGTCCTATAGCCCAGAGCCCTCATTGCAATGTGCGACCACCCAGCTGTATCCTCCGCCTCCACAGCCCCCCAGTTGCTCTCCTAATTCCACGGGCTCAGCACGGCCGGTCAGGACACAGAGCAAGGGCCTCTTGCCCTGAGCAGCCTGGATGGTGACTGCAGACAGGGCAGCCAGACCAGCTCCCACAGGAGTTCAGCTGGGCCTGAGACTTTGAGGGGTGCTGATGGGAGCCCCTCCTGGGAATGATGTTCTTCCTTTGAGGGGGATTCTTTGCCACGGCAGGGCTCAGATTCCTGCTTTCCACAACTGTCGTGGCCTCACCTGGAGCGCAGGGGACCTGGGGACCTGGGGACCTGAAGGTGGATGGCGATAGAGTGTCTGGCCCCTCCTGGCGCTGCCCTCACTGTCCCCCCACCTGAAGGGGGTGCTGAGCCTCCTGTGACCTGCAGCAGCGAGGGCACAGCCGTGGGTTGCAGAGGAGACAGGCAGCATGACGTGGTCATTCTAGGACCTACCCCATAGCCTGGCAGACTGGGGAGTTCGGGGCAGAGGCCAGTGCCAAGTGCCATGTCTTGCCTCAGTGGATGCTCTTCCAGTTTCTTTTTTCTATTAAATGTCCCGCTTCCTTTGGTTTGCTTTGCATCTTTGGAGGTGAACCTGGAGGGGGATGGGAGGTGGCCAAGTGTAGGAGGTTGCCGGGCGGGCTGAGGATTTGATTTGGAGTGGGTGGAGCCTGCCCAAGGGACGTGGGATGAGAGGGGTGCCAGGGATGGAGTTTTGGCCCTGCCTAGCCCAGGGGCCTCTGCAAGCCTGTGTTGGCCAGGAGGGAGGAAGGGGTGTTGGCCTAGCCTTGACCTTCGCCATCCTCCCTCCATCTAGCTGCCTCCAGGCAGCCCCTAATAGGAACACATGGGAGGCATTTCAGAGACCCAGGTCTGGCCCTGGCCCCCACATGGAGATCTGAGATCCTCTGGGAGCGCCCCCCTCCACCGGCCCCCTGCAGCCGAGATCTGGGGTGGGAAAGGCGAGGTGTGGGGATGAGGTGGGGAGGCAGCAGCAGCCCAGGGAAGCCAGGCAGAGGCAGGGGTGTTAATTACAGTACACCTTTATTAATACTGGAATCTTCACAGTGCATCTGTTACTTGTAGCAGTGACTATTTAAATCAGGGGGCGGAGGGTGTGGAAGGGGTAGGGAGGAGAGGAGAGTTTTCCCAAAATCTGACAGAAAGAAAAGAAACAAAATGGTTCAGATGGGTGGCGGGTGGGGAGGGGGAAGGGTGAGTAGGAACCAGGAGGGCTGCCTGGGGTGGGGGGGAATAAATTAAAAAAAAGGAACAAGTTAACAACAGCACCAGGAAAGTTACTTCAGTCAAGACGCTTTTGAAAAGAATATTTCTCTGTACAAAATGAGAAAAAAAGAACATAAAGAAGTCCCTCAAACCAAAGTTTGTGATATGGGATGGTGGGCTCAGATCCCGAGGTGGATGGGCCTACGAGGTGGTTGCTAAGACGACGAGAGGGCGGGGTGGTCTTGGGGATGGAGTAGAGTATGTACAGCCCCCGGGGCTCGAAGGGGAGGGGGACGGGAGAGTTGGTGGGGGCTGTGCCACGCAAGGCCCCCTCTCTGGGAAGCCCCTGCCTCCCTTCCCATCAGGACCTCTGAAGCCCAGGCCTGCCCACCCACTGCCCCTCACCCTGTTCCCGCCACATCCTGAATCCTGTTCCACCACCCCCCTGCCTCGACAAACCCCCTGGGGAGAATATTTGGCAGGAATTCCACCCAAGACTCCCCAGACTGGTCACCTGCTCTCCTGGCCCCTAAAACCAGGGCTCTGGTGTTGGCCTGAGCTCCACAGGCTGAGTGCTTGCCTGGCCAGGCAGTTCTTGGACCCGGTGACTGCCAGGGACCATTCTCCATCAGTTCCCGAGGCCTGCTCGGTGCCCGGACCTATCTGGGGTCCCAGCTCACCGCACAAGAACTCCCAGGAGCTCAAGCCTGGGGGGCTCACACCCAGTTCCATTCCATCAAGACCAAGACTCTCCTGACCCCCAGGTGGGACCCCACCCTGGGCCCTAGACGTCCTCTGAGCCCTGCTTTCCCTGCTTTCCCTCGGGACCTACGGGGCCACCAGGACTCTCTCCGCTTGCCCTAGGCTAACGTGCTTTTACCTGCGTGACTCAGTGCATGGGGTGGGGCAGCCTTGCCCCTCCCCCTGACCCTGCTGCCAGCGGAAGCCTGGACTACAGTGGGGGCGGTCCTGGGATGGCATCTCCTCTGGGAACAGAGAGTCAAAGCCAATCTTCCCAGCCTCGCTCCCTGACCTGGGCTTGCAGCCGGCTCACACAACAGCAGACAGGCCGGGGGCCCCCAGCCCTACTTTGGCTATCCTCAAGACGCTGGAGAGAATAGTAACTTCCCCCCAGCTTTGGGGGAGCCACGTCCCCCCCTTCTCCTCCTGCCACGGAACCACCAGGCCACTGGGGGGGGCCCTGTCCCTCAGGCACTCCCAGACACACACCCTGTATCATCCCTCACCCCACACACAGTCCTCGTCCACAGTCAGCTACATTTTATTACATCCATCAAATGACCCCACACTACCTACTGCTCCAGTCCCCACCTCCCCAGGTGGCTGAAACTGTGACCCCCAAAGTTAAAGGATTGATGTGGCCAATGAGACGTGGACATCTGAAAACGGTGCCTTCGTGGCTGACCAATGATCCCAGGGCCTCCGTCCTCCTAACCCTGCTGCCCTAGTTCCCCAGGAACTGCCCTGACCCTCACTCCCACCAGCCTCATGGGGTGGTGGGGGGCGAGGGGTGGGAGCCACCACAGGGCCCCCGAGATCCCCTAAGCAGCCCCGGGTTTCCTCCCTGAGACTCGGCATGGGCCCTGGAGGTCCCTTCCCCGTGGTGGGGCCTGGCCTCCCAACTCCGACCTATCGCCCCCGCCCCCAGCAGACATCCAGCCCAGCACGCACCTGGCCCCTCCACAGCTGCCCTGCATCTCAGGGAGAAGGTCCTGGGAGAGGCAGAGAGAAGGCAAGAGGGGAGGGGGAGCTCAGGCACGGGAGAGAGGCCGGCATTCTGGGAGGAGCTGAGGCAGGGCCGGCCCTGGGAGAGACCGGGGTGGTGAAAGCGAGGCCAGCCCAGCCCCTCTGCCGTGGGCCGGCCGGCCCTGGCTCTGGTGCTCATGGGTGCGGAAGAGACAGGGCACGAGAAGAGGAAGAGGAGGGGCAGAAGAGCATAAAACAGGCCCCAAACGAGGCCCGAGCCGCAAACGAGGCCCCGGCTTGCAGGCTCCCTCCCGGTGAGGCTTGTTACGAAGTTGCTTCCCGTTTAAACGCTGGAATCCAAGCAAGGCGTCTCTTTCCGTCAAGCGGCACTGCCCCTGCCCTGGCTCTGTCCTCTCTCCAGGCTGGGCCCTCGCTGAGTGCCTGCGGCTCACAGACCAGGCCACCTCTCACACCAGGGCCTGAGAGGATAGAGAGCGTGGCGCCATCATAAGATGCGGGGCGCCGACCTGTCGTTGGTGACGGTCCTGCGGAGCCGGACCCCACGCCGGATGGCCACGAGCATGTCTTCGGCTGGGGGGTCGCTGGTGGCAGCAGGGGGCGGGGTGGGCGTCTCCTCCGTGGGGGTGGCCGACAGGGCAGTGGGGAAGGGGAACTGGCCCTCGCCCAGTGCGTGGGCGCCCGCCACCAGCTCCCCCAGCTTCTCCACCAGGCTGTGCCGGTTGGCCGCCAGCTGCTGCTGCTCGTCCTCGGCCCCCGCCCCGGGGTACCCGGCTGCCTCTGCGGACGGGCTGCCCCAGGCTGTGTTGGGCAGGCTGAGCCTCTTCGGGGAGGCCTTGGCGAGGTCCGGTGCCAGGGGCGAGGCGGCCTCGTCGGTGTAGAAGACACACTCCTCGCTTCCCGCCCGCGTGGGCCCCATGTAGCCAGGTGAGTCAGGCACCGTGGGCGTCTTCACAGGGACGATGGGAGGCCGGATGGGGATGGGGCCTGCGCTGGACAGGGCGCGGCGCACGGTGGGCTTGGTGGAGGGCGTGCGGCGGATGGTGGCCACGCCGGGGGGTGCGCCCGAGGGCAGGCCGGTGGCCGTGGGCAGCCCTGCGGTGGGCAGCCCGGCGGTGGAGGCCGGGCGCTTGGTCTGGATCAGGCGGCGGTAGTTCTGGGCGATGTTGCTGTTGCGTGGGATGGTGGATGACTTGTCGAACTCCGTCGGGCCCTCGCTGTCCGCATCCCCGTTCACGGAGTAGCAGTCGTAGTCGGAGCCTGGGGGCACGGGACACAGTGAGGCCGGGGCGCAGGTGGCCCCTGGCCCCCAGCCCACCAGGGTAAGCACGCAGGGGGAAGGAAGGGGCCCTCCTGGGTGGCTCAGTCCCAGCCCCGCGGGCCTGCCTTGGGAGGGAATGGTGTCCTCGGAGCAGGAGGGCGTGGTGGTCTGCGTGCTGTAGCCGCTGGAGTACTGCAGCGAGTCCCGGCTGCTCTTCTGGTGCTCTAGGCTCAGGCCACGTGTCAGCACCATTGCTAGGTCACTGGCTGCGGGGGATACCTCCTCGCCATGCTGAGGGTGAGAAATTGCAGGCTGAAGCCTTGCACCCCCAGTCCCCTCTGCCCAAACTCCAGGCAGCCCAGCCAGGTAGTTGGAGCTGGGCCTGAGGCCACTGGCTGGGCCTCCTGGCACTAACCTGGGAGTGAAGTGGGGCCCTCGCCGGCCTACCTTGGCGGCGATGGTGGCAGGGGACATCCGTGGTCGAGGTGCTTCTTCCCCGCTGGGGCCCAGGGTGCCCCCACTGGCAGGGCCTGGCTCTGTGTCTCGCAGGAGCTCCACTCGGTCCTTCCTCCGCTGCAGAGTGGCACCCGAGGGCTGCTCATGGGAGCCAACCTTGGACCAGTCCTGCAGGGAGGGTGTGGCAGGTCAGGGGGTCCCTTGGCCCCACCACCTATGGCCTGGGGGCCCCTCACTGTCACTGAGGCTCAGGGTGTCCAGGGCTATCAGGGTCCTCTGGTTCCCAATCACAGCCAAGGGCAGAGCATGGAGTGTGACTGTGACTCCTCAGTCTCACCAGGCCCAGGGGTTAGCTGTGGCTATGGGCAGTGCCTGAAGGAGGTGGCCAGGTGGCCTGTCTCTTGGGGACAGGTGTTGTTGTGTGCACCCCTGGCTGAACCCAGACCCTCTGTGTGGTGATGGCAGCAGGTGGGGAGGGTATGGGAGGGGCAGCTGGTGACTGTCCTGGGGCTGGGCTGGGAGCACTGACCGAGGTGGGGGAGCTGCACTCGCTAACGGACTGGCAGGTTTCCGAGGCCTCGGAGGATGCGGAGCTGGAGGACTTCTGCCATGCAGAGGCCAGCAGGCAGTTGCAGACAGACAGGGGCCAGCAGGTGGTGAGGAGGAGAGGAGAGAACAGTTCTGGTCACAGAGCTGGCATGCAGGGGTGGTTCGATTCAGTGCCTCACCCAGCGCCCACGCCCCACGCCTGTCCCAGGGCCATGGCTGCTGAGCGTCTTCAGCAGAACGCAGCAGCCCAGAGCTGTACACAGTGGGCACTGACTGACCCACCCGACAGTGCAGCCCCAAGACCTGCTCATTTTAAAGACTGACCACAGAACTCACTGCTGATGGCCTGG